CCCCCCCCCCCTGAGGCCTGCTCGGAGCCCTAACTTTCTGCTGAGAAGGATGCAAAAAAAAAAACACCCTATGCTTCTTGAAATCCCCCGAACCACCCCCACAAAAGCTAAGGGCTTTATTTTATTTGCCTCCCCTGTTCAGCATAGAACCCCAAAGGCCTTGAAAAAGGCTTGTGTAATGCACATTGCACTTGTCAGTGGCTGAGGAGGAAAAGAGCGTAGAGTGTCCAGGTACACTGTACACAACACACTCTCGCTCTCTCTCGTTGGATCAATCACAAACGGTATGATGAACTTTTTTTTTTTTAAGAAAACAGGTCTTTTTGCCCGTGGCTCCATACCAGTTCTTGATGAACTTTTTTTTTTTTTTTTTTTCCCCCCCCCTTTGATGAACAGAATTCTATGTCCAAGGAAGAAACAAAAAAACTTTAAAAAAGTGAAAATTTGAAAAATGAAAAAATATTTAGGAATTGCCGAAAATTCACTAAAGTAAAGAGAGCTTGAATTTCAAGATAAGGATTCAGATTCTTTGAACTTGAAAAGAAATCTTAATAATAGATTAGGACATTCAAATCTTGAATTCCCTATGGAGAGCGTAGTACGATGAAAGTTGTATGCTACGTTCGGGGGGAATTTTGGATGCCGAATTCGACATTCAAATTGCAACATTCACCGGAGCTTTGAGTCTTCTTTGAAACAGAGTAGTAGACTACATCCCCTAGATTGATTTATTAAATTTTATTTCAAATTATTTGTGTCACATATTTTTCAGAACTGAGTTCTAACTCCAAATTTCAAACCTTACGCACGACTGAAAGCACAATTTAAAATTTTCAATTATTTTTTGTCTGCTTGCTGGTAATGAGTAACCAAGCTGGCACCGCCCAGAATAGATGGGGCATGTGTGTTTGTGCCCCCCCCCCAAAAAAAAAAAAACATTTTGTCACATTTTCTAGAACAAGAATAAGGGTACATTTGCCCAGCCCATGTGTCTCAGTCTTGCACACGTACGAAACTGTTCGTTAACAACCTGAGTTACCTGACAGAACATGAGTTTTTTTTTTTTTTTTTGAAAAACCCTGTTCCTGGCTAGGAGAGGTAATAACACTACACTGAACAGAACATGACTTGTAAACTTCTAATCCTTTGGTGAAATGATGAAATCAGATGATTTGGAACACAAAGCGCAGACCTTTAAGCAATCTACATACAACTGCAGTCCTATGCGGAGAAGCAGAGAAAGTGTTAGAGTGGGCTAGGGCCAAATGTTAGAGTCGGGTAGACATTAAGCCGAGCGACGTAAAACTGCAAACCTAAGGTCTGGCAAAAGAGGCCAGGGCCAAAGTAACCTTTGGTTAAGACCAAAGAGCAGAAATTGAGGAGATTGATATACAACTGCAGATTAATGGGTCATATGCAGACCTGACAAGTTCCCCTCATCACTGTCACCACTTATAAACACGCATATGGAGCGGTGTAATTTTGTTGTTAATTTTTTTTTTTTTTTTCATTTATTGGGAAGACGTGTGAATATGTTTTGATTTATCAACAATTGACTTGCAGCTCTGTGGATGGCTGCCCGTTGCCTCTGCCAAAATATATATATATGGCAGTTCTGTTTGTGACGATATATATCTTTTTGTGACGATATATATATACGGTTTTACCGGGCAGTTCTGTTTGTGACGATATATATATATAGAGAGAGAGTACAAATTTTAATACATCAATAATGTCGTGGTATACTAGACCGTTTTCCCGGGCGCCCGGGCACCCAAATTTTGGCCGGGTACTAATATATGCAAGGAATATGAGTGTGAGCGATATACATAAAAGTTGATAAAACCAAGTTGCGAAATCACACAGCTGAGCAAGTAGTAGTATCCCAAGTAGAGAGTACAAATGCACCGAGAAAACCATCCATAAAGAGCAATACAATGAAGTATTGAGCCAATGTCCAAGCCCGTAGGCCACACCAACACAGTATCCAGAGTCGCTCTCTCTGTCTGGCGCACAGCGCCCAGCCTACTCTACCATACTATCCTATGCTACAGCTGGTTCACACAACAGGATCACTTCGGCTCACGAAGACCAATGTACATGACTGTCCACACCATCGGCGACCTCTCTTCATGTACCAGGTACGTATCTCGTCACCCTCAATCAGACCTTGATTATCCCACACAGCGCCTCACTCCCTGAAGACCACCCGATCATCCACTGTACCCCCTGGCGCCTAGCAGCCTGGCTATGGCCGCCTGCGCCCCGCTGCCCTGCAGCGCCCCACTTCACCTCTCGCGCCCCGTCAGCGCCCTTGGCAGCAGAGCAGCATCAAGCGAGAGCGCAGCAGCACTTCCGCATTGCCAGCGCTGGCCAGAATGCCTGGCCTGGGCTGCCTCACTTCCTTTATGGAAGTGGCAGCCTGCTGGATGCTGCGTGTGGCCTGGCTGGAAGCTTCCAGTAGCTTCCGGTTGGGCCTCAGACCCTGTGCCCAGGCCGAGACTTACAGTTGAGGGCCTGGGCCGTTTACAGTTGGGCGCGGCCTGAGTCTCCGGACTTGGGCTGTTAGCTGCATCTGCGCAGGGCCCCCAGGTAGATGCGTCGGCTGTACTGCTTTTCCAAAGGCTGATGGCCTGCTTCTCAATGTATCGGCCCTGCTTTGTGTGTAGGTGCCCAGGCACAACTTTCGTGGCCTGGGCCAACTGTACAATGCAGCTTAGTGAGGCTCGCGCGTTCACTCAACCAACTGATGCGCTGCAAGAGCCTGAATACCCACATATGGAAATGTCGAATTTTGGCCTGTGGCGAATATTCAGGCCCGCCTTCACTTAGGGCGGGCACTTGGCTTGCTGGGGCCTTAGCCCAGAATATGCGATGTCTGATAGGGCCCCTTGAGGGCTTGTTCCTCACATTCCATCCCCCTTAGCTTCGAAAGTCCGCTGAGATGCTTCATGCTGGAGCCTTCCCCTTTAGTTTCTTCTCATAATCTGCCACGATCTGAGATGCTGTCTTAATCAGTTCCTCCCTTGAAATCCATCGATCTTCCTTCGGATCAGTGTGATGCCTGAAATGAACTCTGTATTCCCTCCCAGGTTTCGGAGGTCTTCCCCTGCCAGGTGGCTTGGGAACAGGTGTATCTCTGTGATCCAAGATGTCGTCGACGTCCACCATCCATGGTTGGGGGCAGCATAGATCTCCTTGATGGGAACTGTGCTGTCTCAGCGAAAGATGCTAGCTTGGAGGCGTGAAAAAACAGGGTAAGTGCATAGGTGACCAGGGATACGAATGACGTACGAGGGACCATCCAAATCATTCCCCACTTCCCCACTATGTCCAAGACTTCCCAGGGACCGAAATACTGAGGCATTAGTTTTCTAGAGATGCCAAACTCCTGTCCTAGTTCACTAGCCTTGACCCAGACACGTTCCCCTACCTGAAATGTGGACTGTCGGCGATGCTTGTTCTCATAAGCAATCATGGCTTCTTGAGATTTCTTGATATGTTCAACAGTCTGCTGCAACAGTTTCTCATACTGGACACCAAATTCAATGGTTCCAGGAGTTGCAACAGTTCGGTTTTCAGGCAGGAGGAAGTCTAGAGCGGATCTAGGCTTCCATCCGAGATGTAGCTGATTAGGACTGGCACCGATGGTGCTGTGTACAACATTGTTGTACAGACTGGCGATGAGAGGCAACTTCTCATCCCAGTCATCCTGGCTGGGCTTGATGTAATGCCTCAGCAGATGCTGCACCACTCGGTTCATCTGTTCAGCCTGCCCATTTGCTTTGGGATGATTCCCAGAAGTCATATGAAGCTGGCTGCCCATCTGTTCAGCGGCCTATTTCCACATCTCACTAGTGAAACAAACATCTCTATCACTAACGATAGTCGTAGGCAATCCAAAATCACGCACCCAGTTGTCCATGAACAACTTGATGACGTGCTCAATCCTGACAGTCTCTGGCATGGCGATTAGTCCAGCGTACTTAGTGAACCTATCCACTATGACGAAGATGTGCCTCTTGCCATTCTTGCTGGTCACAAGAGTATCCATGAAATCCATGGAGATACTCTGCCCTGGTCCAGCAGAAATGGGTAAAGGCTTGAGTAACCCAAGCGGAGATTGAGTTCGCGGCTTGTCCCGTTGACAGACCTGACAGGTCTCCATGTACTTCTTCACATCGTCAAGCATGTTAGGCCACCAGAATCGCTGTACTATATTAGCACTAGTCTTCTTATAACCGAAATGTCCTGTTGTGTCGTGGCACTCACCTAAAAACAAACTACGCAAAGTTTTCCTAGATGGAACAACTAACCTCTTGAACCCTGTCTTCTCAAGAAAGAGCAATCCATCCACCATCACAAACTCACCAGTGGTGGCCTTGTCTTTAGCCTGTAATTTGTTGATGATGTCCATCGTGATGGGATCTTCCTTGTAGGCTTCCTCCAAAGATCGAGTTACATCTTCAGATAGACCAAACTCAGAAATCAGCGCACCTAGGTAATCTGCCCTCCTAGACAACGCGTCTTCAACCTTGTTGTACTCTCCCTTCAAATATTCTAGTTTAAAATCATATTGATCTATGACTTCAATCCAGCGTTTGAGTGCATCTGAGAGAACTGGTTGAGTCTTAATCCACTTGAGTGTCTGATGGTCAGTTCTCAAGTAGAAGAACCTTCCTAACAGGTAGTGCCTCCAGTGGACAAGTGCCTTGTAAAGAGCGTAGAGTTCCCTCTCGTAGGTGGACTTAGCCAACTTCTTTGAAGGCATCTTTTTGCTCCTGTACTCGATCGGTCTCAACTTCTTCCCTTCCTGCTGAGCCAGCACTGTGCCAATCCCATATTGACTTGCGTCAGTGGTTACAACGAATGACCTTTGCGGGTCGGGTACCATGAGAACCTCATGATGCGTGAGAGCATGCTTCAAACGCTTGAAAGCTGCCTCACACTCGTCGGTCCAGTCCCATGGTGTGTCGAGTCGAGTTGGATCAGTCAAGGGAGATGTGATCGTGCTATATTTCTTTACGAAATTGTGGTAATAACCACACATTCCCAAGAATGATCTGACCTCAGTCACTGACTGGGGTCGTGGCCAATCACGTATGCTAGCCACCTTAGCGTCTTCGGGCCTAATCCCATCCGCGGATACTTCATGACCCAAGTACAAGATTCGAGTGCGACCAAACTCGCATTTCTCTGCGTTTATCTTATACTTGTGTTGTCGAAGGAGTGAAAGTACCTTGTCTTCATGCTGAGCATGCTCCTCGACAGATCTACTGAAGATAATGTCGTCGAGGTACACGACAACAAACTTGTCCAAGTAGTCATGGAAGATCCTATTCATGGCGTGCTGGAATGTACACGGCGCATTGCAAAGGCCAAAGGGCATCACCACAAACTCGTACAGACCGTACCTAGTCTGAAATGCGGTTTTGTGCTGGTCCTCTGGTCTAATGGCAATCTGATGGTAGCCGGATTTTAAGTCTATCTTTGTGTAGTACTTACATCCCTACACCCTATCCAATAGGTCGTCGATGCGTGGTAGAGGCTCTCCATTCTTAACGGTGATGGCATTGAGGCCTCTATAATCTCTTCTCTGTGAGCTCTTTCAGTTGCCGTCGAAGTTCGTCCAACTCGGCTGGAGCCATCCTATAGATTCTACCCTTTGGTGTTTTACTACCTGGGATAATCTCTATGGCATGGACAATCTCCCTGTCTACGACTCCTGTAGGCTCCTCGAACAGATCCGGGTACTTAGCGACGATAGTCTCTATCTCTGGAGGTGTTTTAACGGCCTCCCCTTTTGCAGAGACATAGACTAAGTACATTCCTTCCGCTTGGTTCTGTTTATAATAATTATAACAAGTGGACCCGCCGCAGCTACGCTGCGGCAGAGGAGAGGGACGAAGAGGGAGGCGGGGCCGTCGTTGTCACACTGTCGGGTTTTTTCATTTGTTTTTATTTTTTTTTGTCGTCATATTCTCTCTCTCTCTCTCTCTCTCTCTCTCTCTCTCTCTCTCTCTCTCTCTCTCTCTCTCTATTTATCTATCTGTCTGCGTGCATGGCTGGAAAACT